CTACGCTGGGAGCTCCGACGGTGAAGGACCTACAGGACGGCAACGCGGCCATCAGGCGGATACAGAAGCGGGACGACTTGCTGATCAGGCTCTCAGCAGGCCTGAACCTGTGGGAGACCATGGTGATCAATGTCACCGACAGTGCTTTCGACAATCTGCCGAAGCACAGATCACAACGCGGACACTTCATCATGCTGGGCGACCAGAAGATCAACGAGGACCACAGTAACAAGTACAAGGTACACTGCATTGGGTGGCAGTCCTCCAAGATTCAACGAGTGGTGCGATCTACTCTATCAGCGGAGGCCTACTCATGTGCGGATTCGGTGGACATGTTGATATGGACAAGGTCGACCCTGCCGGAGGTCCTGTACCCGGAGATGGACATGACCGAGATTGTGCACGACACCTGCCCGGTGAAATGCATTTCGGTGACCGACTGCAAGAGCCTATACGACACGATCACAAGGGAGAAGATCTCAATGCTTTCTTTGGAAGCGGCTATATTGCGGCAGTCACTCAAAGAGGTCAGCATCAAGTGGGTCAAGAGTGAGCAGATGCTAGCGGACTGTTTGACGAAAGTACTTCCAGGAGGCTACGCGAGGAAGATAGTTACATCAAACCTGTGGACTCTTGGGCCTGATGACAGGGCACCATCAATACGCGGACGAAAGCTTGTTGGACCAGACGAAGGTGTGGCAGCCAACAAGGAGGTGGACGAGCTCAACGCGAAGATGGCCAAGTACGTCAAGCAGGAGCTGTACGATGACACCGGGAAGGACGACGAGGAGATCTCTACGTGGCCGGTGGAGACGTACAACTACGTGGACGAATGCTTCTACGACGACAAGGATGAGGTTCAAGACGAGGACTACGTCGAGGCATTCTACACGGAAGAACCAACGGACAACTACCCGATGGAGAGGAGTGGCGCGCAGAGAACCATCCAGATACCTGACCAAGTTGTAGTTCTGTTTCAACTTTGTGCACTTGCAGTGTATGGAGTTTGTCTTTCGATGTCTCCTACGGTGGTGACAGTAGTCTCTATCATCGCGGGTATCATCATATTCGTTTACGTAATGCAGCCCAAGCAGAACGACGACGAGGACACCGCTGAGCCGATGGAGGTGGATAGTTCAAGCAGCGACAACCTGTTCATGCCGGAGTTGCCCGAGAAGCAGGTCAAGGTCAAATCCAGGACGGCGAAGGCTACGCCGAAAGCTACGACGACAACACTCGCAGTACGAGCCGATCCAGGGACCTATGACGACGAGATCATGGGAGATGGACCAATTATGTTGGGAGATAGTGCTCTACTGAGGCAGTGGCCGGAGACCATGGGACCAACGATAATCAGGAGTGGCAAGTACGAGGGCGACAGCTACGAGACGATCTACACCAAGGACAGGCACTACGCAAATTGCCTAGGACGGTGTCTCAAGCTGGACGCAGACGAGAGCAGGAGTTATAACCTCGACCCGAGCATCAAGAGTTACATTGCATACAGCATCATCAAGTCAGCAGTGCGTGTGCGCTGATCCCCACTACTACAGATGTGACGATATCTTGGAGCCAGCCAAGCCAGTGGCTCAGATGTGAATGGTGGTGAGGATGATGAGTGATTTGGAGTGCTATTTACAGATGCTGAGTGAAAGCACCCCCTCAAGAGCTCAGGTAAAGATTTTATATGTTGATATCTGTTGCTCGGTGCGCAGACCTCAAGTAAAGATTTGTTTATCTGTTGCTCAGTGCGTGGATTTCTTCTATCTTAGTATATGTTGCTCGGTGCGTTGATTTCTTGTATCTTGATATCTGTTGCTTGATACACGGACGGTAGTTTGACCGTTCGAGCAGAGAATATTGGATTTCTTTTATTTGATATCTGTTGCTTGGTGCACGGACGGTAGCTTGACCGTTCGAGCCGATAATCTTATTCAATATTCTAGAAGCTTGCTGCAGAGCCAAGGCATTCTTTACCAACGTTTCCTTTTCCTGTGTGAAAGTTGTAGTAGCAAGGATGTGAGATATATGATGATGTTTATAATTATCTATGTTGCTGCTCTCGCTCGCTAATGCTTGCACCCTCTTGTTCACTATTGCCATTTGTGGCTTGGACCCGCCAGCTGAGGCGGGAGGGTGGACGCACCTATCGAACGCTGAGTTTGATTCGGTATAAGATATCCTATCATCTGCCTGTTCCTTCTTGCATCAAGAGGTTGTGGGTGGAGAGATTTGGATCAATATTTACACTACCCCCTCGCCCCATACACTCCACCATCTCCTCCTGAATTGAACTGAATGCTACCATAGCACGTGCGAAGCGTGCAGGGTAACGTGCACCCAAGTAGGAGCGAAGCAAATGCCAACGCATTCAAGATCGAATCAGCGCCTACAAAGGGGGTTCAAAACAGGTGGGAAATACATGAAATTGACAGAGGTCCCCATCCAGGCCATCATCAGCGCCTATGTATACCAAAACGCTCACGATCGTTTGGGGAGTCATTGAAATGAGTGGCGGTACGGCGGCAGAGCGAAGCAGCCAAGAAGGAGCAAAGCTGGGGGGTATTGCGTTCCTGGCGACGTCTGGAAGGCTCCAGTAGCTTCGCGCCCCACGAATAGTGTGGGAGCCCTGCGGGTGCCAACATCGCCCTTTTCCAACCACATTTGCCAGAGCCTGGAGGAAATGAGGCTGATTGACGGCGAGCAACACAATCGAATTAGTTTGACAATGTGCGGCTCGATGCCACAATGATCGACCACAACGAGGTCCGCCGAGCGTTTCTTCTGAGGCAGAGTCCTCAGATGCACAATCTCTGAGAGATACGAGGAGCTGGGAAAGGGGTCATGAGTAGGGGCGGGATGTTCCAGAATCCCAGCAGTAACGTGCGCGAACCCCGTTTCACTCCACAGTTAGAGCCATAGAGCCACCAGCTATATTCTCTTGCTAGCTGGCAAGCGCACTGTTCACCGCTTTTGTCTCACTTTCCGTTTGTGCTCCCAGTGGAGTCGACGCAGCCCAGGAAGGTAACCATGGTCGCATGTTCGCCTGCAATACCAGAATATGGGCCAGCATGCGAATCCTCTCCCACATCGCAATATTCTCCGTGGCTGCGTAAGAGCGTCATGCATTCCGTCATGATCGGCATACGGTTGTATACAGAGTCGTTATTGTGATTGCCTCAATGGACCATCTCGATGTACGGCCTGCGTTGTGGGAGCTTAGAGCCGTCAAGGTGCTTGGCCGTCTGCGTGTAACCCTCTCATTGATTGGTCGTTTCACAAGCTGGCCATTGGGAAATGCAGCACCGTACACACAAGCTGAGGTCCTAAGGAGCCTATTGCCGAGGTCAAGCTGAGACCATGCCTTCGCGGTGGCCAGTGGAAGCCCCTGGAGGTTAGCCAAAGACCTGATCAAGCGCGGTCCTCCTTTCTTTCTTTCGGGCTTCCGCTGGCACAGTCGCGCGGGTGCTAGGTGAAAAGACCATAGCAACGCCAGCGGATCATGAATACCCCGGGGGCCTATACCAAATAGACTTCAGGGCTCAGCATCAACACATCCGCATGCCTCAGCAAAAGTTGTCGAGCAGCGCAAACCGATGCGCAGCACACCAACTTTCACACGGTGGGCCAGCGACCACGCCTCCAGGGCCTCTGGGGCTATCTGCGTTGGACCGCCAAGGACTACGCCGCCCCGACCGCGGCGTTCGTCAAGGCGGCGCTCCGCGAGGGTGCCGCAGGGCGATCCAGAGGCGGAGGACGGCGGGTGATATTGCAGCACCTCCGCAAAAGTTGACGGCGCGCGCACCCCGGGGGTGGGCGCGAGGGAGGCGGCCGTCTACCACGGCGGAGGGGGGGTTCTTAGAAGGGCCTGGAGGCCTCTGAGGAGGCTTCTTAGCAACTGGGAGGGCTCCCAAGACACCACCTGCCGTCTTGGAAGCCCCTCCTGAGGAGGCCGACCCCCTCGCACCCATCCCGTTCGCGCGCCGCCAAAAACAGAGGGCAAGGACTCTCGGAACAACGCGCGGCAGAACTATGCTGGCGAGCAGCCATGGTGCTGGCAGGGGCACCCCAAGGCCGTTCGCTGCACTCCAAGCCACCGTGCCGCGTCAAGACCCATTGAGCCCATGAGTGGATCACCGCCTGAGTACAACCCACACCTCCTGGGCCTCGGAATGGCCGCGCCAACTAGTTCTGCCATTTCTCGGTGACTGAGAGCAGTTTGCGGGCCCTGAAACCAGACCATCAAAAACGACTCGGGATGATAAAGCTGGTCCCTGGAGAAAGGATCGAGAGGTCCAAGGGACGGCGGGCGACTCGACCCGAAAAAAGAATGGTCGGAGGTCTGGGTAGATGCTGGCAGAGCCCACTGAAGTCCTGGCGGGCTGTGGGCTGTAAGTTGCGTCATTGTGTTTCCTTTCTCCTGAAGAGTGAACCTGGCGGCGTCTTGCGGTCTGGGTCATCGCCAAGCCCTCGCTGCGGCTGATGGCATCCAGCTCCTTTCGAGCCCCGCTTGCTCCTCCCAAGACGGCTCCATGCCTCGTCGGCCGTTCCCGAGCTGGGCTCGGGCTCCGCGATCTGATCCCCACCCGGTCTGCACTGGCTCCAGTACGCTCCAGAGCACTCCGCCAACTTGTGGCCGCTTCGCACGACTCCTGTGAAGCCCGAGGCCGCCTGCACCACGCGTGAAGTGCTATATGCTCTGAGCGCGGCCGCCTTCCTCTCTTTGCACTTAGCTCGGGGCACAATTAGCTCTGCCGAACCCCGACTGCTGCTGCTGCTGCTGCTGCTGCTGCTCGACGCTTCGTCTCCCAAGTCGCCGCATGCTTCCGCTCGGACCCTCAGTCATTATCCACACTGGTCATTGCAATCTCGACACTGATTCGTTCACTGATTGTCGGCCATGTTGGATTCGTCTGGCTGGAGCACATCGCAAAGCAAAACGTGGAAAACCAGAGCTTTGCAGCTACTGCGCATCACCCTTCGTGTTTAGCCCACTGGGCCTCGTCGACCATCTCCAGCTCCTGCCGCCATCGCAATTTCATGTCCAGCTGCGCCTGCGGCCAAGACCACAGGATAGGACAACCAGTGGCACGAAAGAGACATTGGAATGGGAACTGCGAGGGCACGAGCTCAAGTCAGCATGGAGTCCTTCTGAACGTGCTCTGACATTAAAGTGGAAGCCATGATTGTGTGGGAGGCTGTGGCGGGACCTAGGCACTTGCTTAAAAGATCGCGAGTGGGTCTCCAAAATGCCATACGATATATGATGGTCACGGGGAAACGAAGAGGCCCAAGGCCCAGCCCAGCGAAGGACAGAAGATACAAATGCAGGCACGACTGCGTTCGTATACACCCCAGGCAGCACACATAACTATCGTGTTACGCCGCCGTCGCTTCCCTGAGGGGCTTCGGACAATGAAGCTCGAGACCACGAGGGCCGAGACCCTGCGGCAGCCCTCCTTCCCGAGACTCAGACCTCCGACTGATCGGTCTGTTCAATCCGCAGGTCCCAGGGCAGGTTCCGTCCCGCATCAATAGCTGACAGCTCTGGGGCCCGAAAACGTCCCCCGAAGGAAGTCTAGGAAGAGAAACCAATCCGCCGGAGGTCTGGGACTGCCAAGCGCATGGGATGTAGCGCAAGAGCTCCATGCGAACCAAAAGCCCTGGGGCGGGTGAGCTACCTGATCGCACCTGAGCTCACCAGCTTGAAGAGCCCTCTCATTCGACGGCACATCTTTGTCGTTGCCCACTCATTTGAGGATTCATGATGGTTGTCTTTTGATGTTTTTAACCATCAGTTCGGCTTCCCGATCCCTCCCATCCAACACCAAGCATTTGTTCGGTACGTGGGCATCCAAGACGTTCAACCGTTCCAAAAGCGCGAAAAAGCCCGCGGAGGCCGAAAATGCAGGAAAAGCGCTGGGATTGAAAAAAACAATGGAAGCCCGACTTCCTTTTTGGAAGCTGATTTCCGTTATTCTCCAGATAGGTCTGCCCTATAAGAGTTCGAACTCAAACCTTACGTTGCCTCCCCCTAATTCCTATGCCCCCCCCTAATTCGTATGGCTATGCCTATGCCTATGCCTTCCCTCTAACTCTTATGCCTACGCCTACGGCTACGCCTACGCCTACGCCTACGCCTATGCCTATGCCTATGCCTATGCCTATGCCTATGCACCACCTGTGAACGTTCAGATACCTATGCCTATGATTCTGCCTGTGTTTACAATGTTTGCCTGCTTGCTTGCGTGCTTGCTTGCTTGCGCGCGTGCTTGCGCGATTGCACGCTTGCTTGTTTGCTCGCTTGCTTGCTTGCGCGTTTGCTTGCACGCTCGTTTGCTTGCTCAGTTGCGGATTCCAAGTATGCTGCTTCCTCTGATTCTTTGAGTCGTCTAATCAATTTGTAGTCAACGCTCGCTGACATGTTGAAATGTTCCTCCTACCGAACGGAAGCTCGAAATTATAAATGAATATCGTATAACTTCGGAGATATGTTGGACGTTTGCTGACGGAGCACGCCCCCAGATCTGCTTCCGCTTGCCCTCTTTTTCCATTTCCTTCTCCTCCTCCTCACCGCTTCCCCCAACTCGTCCTCCTCGTCCTCCTCCTCATCTTCCCCGCCTCCTCCTCCTCACCGACACTGACGACAGGAAACGTCAGTCTTTGAGGGATTCCGGTCCCTTGGCCACCGCCCCACCCAAACAGCGCCAGTGACCCGATGTGTATCGGGTGGACACGTCACGCGTCGCGTGCATAGCGCGCTGCTGCTTCCTGTTCTCACAGGACTGTCAACCCTGCGGAAAGGTAGGGCGATGGAGAATAGCAGAGGAGCAGCAGCAGCAGCAGCAGCAAGCGGGGGAAGAAGATCAGGAGGAAGAGCAGGACGAGCGGGAGCAGGAAGTGGACGAGGAGGAGGACAACAATGTGCATGTGTGATGCACTGTAGTAGCTGCATGGAATACAGAGAGAGAGAGAGTGAGCGAGACACGATGCGCAAATGGGGGGACCCGTGCTAAGAGAGAGTACAGCTTCTTTCCTTTTGTACGGGGGCTCGCGAGCGCGCGCTGCTGGCGCGCCACACAGCTCAAGGGCCCCGCGATCCGAGACGGCCGCGGGGCGGGGAGGTGAGAGGGAGGCGCAGGAGGAGGAGAGGCTGAAATATACATAACAACGGCAACTCCTATCTTTTGTGTTCGGTCGAAAGCTCAGCCGAAGCCTTAGCACACGCCAAATTTCTTGTACTTCCCGTACCCACATTAATCGTAGTCATTCATGATATTCTTATCCCGACGACCATCCACAGGTCATCTGTGACACGTGGCCGCTCCGGCCACACGAACACAGAGACCGATGGCAAACTTATAGGACAGACTTGCCCAGGGACCGTCACCCCCCTCACCGCGATACCACGATCTGACATGGATTCGCCCACCAAGTAACACATCTCGTCCACGAAGCTCCTCGGCTCGGAGTTGGGCGGCCAATAAGGGGGCGCCCGTCCGCTCCAAGAAGCGGGCAGCGGCACTGAGCTCTGGTCCACTGTGGGAGCCAACGCTCATGCCTTGGAACGCGTGCGGGACGAAGAGGTCCGACATCATACATCTTCAGATCAGAAAGCAGAGTCGTCGATCGGGTTGTCCGAGTACGCGTGGACACTCGGAAAAGCACCAGCACATACCTTGTACATCCCCCTCATCGTCGCAGTATGGATTCAGATCTTCGCGACGCGAGTGCTGCGCTCATCCTGGCACCGCTGCCTATGGACATGCTGATTGGGACAGTTCGCGCGGCGCCACGATCGACCTCCACCTCGAAAATGCGCGAATACAGATTCATCCCAGGGGACATGTGAACCACGTAGTGAGCACAGCTGCCACGGCGGCGCTCGCCCTCGCAGTAAACTCCGAAGTAATTCTCGGTGCTGGACGGTCCTGGTTTCAACATGTGCATGCCGCGACTACCCCACATGGATGCGAGAGCTGTCACGTTGGCGCCGTGGTAAGCCGTCTTGAACTCGGCCCCCTTGTCAGTAAGGCGCGATCACGCATCAGATCCCTGACGCACGTCAGTTCTGAACAAAAAGACCACCACTGTCCTGTAATATACTCGCTGCGCCGCGCTCAAAGAGCCCGTCAAACTCGTCGCCCAGCTGGCCCTGAGTAAAGCTGGAGCATCCTCGAGCCTAGCATCTCAGATCGAAACGCCAGTGCCACGGCGTCCGAAACAGCCGCAGTGGCGCACGGCGTCAACCGCGTCATCTTTTCACACGGGAACCTTGCCACAGGTCGTCCAATCACGGCTCATCATATTGTCGGAGGCGGACCTGCACTTCCTGACGAGCTCGAAGATTTTCTTGCAGCGTGCACTGATGTACCGCCCGGCAGGCCCAAGAACAATCTCTCCCTTCTCAACCGGCGACCCTTCGATCTGCCCCGAGGTGGAGAAGTACCTGTCGAGGCCCATGATAGCGGCCATGCCCCCTTGAATCGCCTCATCTCCGCGAGGAGGGATGCCCGCGCAAGTCTTTAACGTTTCCGCCGCATTGGAAACCTCCAGAGAACTGGCGAAGAGGCGCTCCGCCTCCTCGTGCCGCCCCCGGCTGTCCGCCTCTGCGTAGCGGTCCAAGATGTCAGTCATGACCAGCTCGCCGTCTTTGGCTAGTTCCCCCGCTGTCCTCTCGATCAGGTTCTCCTCCTTTCGCTCGCGCCAGAGGTTCCCCCAAATGTCTGGCAAGCCGTCGGCGTCCATCGTGCTGGCGAACTTCAGCACGTCTGGGACCCATGCTGGTGGATTCTGGAGTTTGTCGAACCGTTCCGCTGGATGAGGCCCAGTCGGGCTTTTCGGGTCGGAGGTGGATCCTTGCGAAATATTTGTCTTCTTGCTCTGTGCACCTGACGAAGACGGCCATGAAGCGACGAGTAGTCGTCCTCATGCGTGCGCTCGTGGAGAATGCTGCTGGCGGTGTTGCTGTCGAAATTGTTGCACGCGCGAGCGATCCGCACGGCGTCGGCTGTGGGCATCGCCCCTAGGAAGCTCGTCCACACGCGGTTCGCATTGCACCTCGCATAACGATGGCGAACCGCCAACATCTCTGCCGAGTGCGCGTCCACGGCGGTGACGTCCTGATCGTGGGCCAGCAGGTGCTCGCGCTCCCTCTGGTCCAGCTTCTGCTGATGTCGGCTCGTCAGAACCTAGACCAGGTCGTCAGTAGGCCGACATCCATCTTGCCCTGATTCCGCAGGGGGCGGCTCTTGCTCTTGTCGCCGTCGTACAATGCGCGTGCTCTCGCGCTGCTCCGCCGACTCCTGTTGCATCTTCTGAATGCGAGGCTTCTCAGCATCACGGATGTGCATCTGCCGCGGGCGGCGCCACTGATTAAGGTCCTCCGTCTGAACGAGGTCCTCGACGTCCACCCAGGCGTAATAATCGTCTCCTGCTGGGACTCCTTCGATTGCTTCGCAGCTCCTGTAGATCATCTCCTTCTGGGACCGCACATGTGGACCAGGGTCCGCAGGATGCTCCGCGTCGAAGATCCCGTAGCGAATGTGATTAGGCTCGGCCACACTGCGATCGGGAAAAGCTGGTAGCTCCACCGGGGTGTCCGGGCGCACCTCCAGTCCAGACTCCTCCATGCGCCGCCTGCAGGCTGCAATCCGCGCGGCGTAGTCACAGGTAGCATCGCGCTTCTCGGCAACGCCCATGTCCCTCCGATCGATCATTCCGCCTGGAGCGGCAGTCGGGCAGGGTGGTCCAACCTTCTTTCCTCGACGGTGGACCAGAACGGACACGCTTCGTTCGCAACCACGACATAAACTCCAACTGGTCCGATGAACGTTGGCCTGGGGTGGCTCGGCTTGTAGTCGGGCTGGTCCGTCGGCGCAACAGGGTCTGAAATCGCTCCTTGCTCGACAGACTCCAGCGAAGCTAGCAAACTAGCCGAGGGCGCGGCAGCCTGCTCCTTGGTCTTCGCCTGGGCCTTGGGCTTCGCCTCGAGCGCCATCAGCATCTCGGGCTGCTGCAGCTGATCGCCAGCTGGGTGGTCATCGAACGCTCCGCCCGGCCGCCCACCGCCGGGCCCCCCCGCGCGCTCGCTGTCGCATCCACTGGAGTCGATCTCCATCGCGTCATCAGCCTCGTCGGACTCATCCCTGTTCCGTGCCGTCTGGGCCATACAACGTCTCATAATATTTGGCCCTTCTCGCCTCGACTGCTCTTGGTCAGCGGTCGTGTGCGCTTGCTGAAAAGAACTCGGCCAACGCTATTCTTGGTCGGGCCTCGGAGCCCCTTGGACCTCCCCTCGACTTCGGGACGGTCGGCGAGCACGCAGAAGCTCGACCCATGGCACGCTTGACCCGATGGATTTACACCCGCAGGCACCTCTTGAAATAGCGATCCCAACTGTTCCAAGTGTTGAACTAAAATGATGACTGCGAAGCCATATTCATCCTGGATCTCTGGATCCGCTGCATTTCCGATCCCATCGCAAATCGGCGAAGATTGTTCGGACATCCTCGAGCGCAGCCCTCCTCGGTACCCTCGGCCACTTCTGGGACCACTCTATCCGTGGCACTGGTCTCGAGCACCTCCACTTGCTTCTTTGCGCGAATGAGACCCATCTCTGCTTCGCGGCGCTCCTGAATGAGAGCAATCGTGGTCTGACCCATCTCCAGATAGCGGTCAAATTTGACCTGCTGAGCGTCAGCGCGGGAGTCATTCCCCTCTTGGCGTAGAATAGCAATCACCTGCTTACGAGCAGGTGGTCCTCTTTCATGGTCCTCCATTGTGTCAATAGCACACTTCAGTCGGCGATTCTGACTGGTGGCCATCATGAACGTCACATGGCCTCGAAAATGAATGATGTTCAGAAGGGACTCCGAAAGGCATCCAAACAGCAGGAATGGAATGAGGAAGTACCTGATCATTCACGCGCTTGTCATGTACCTTGCTGCACTCCCCAATCTTCTGGGCCCGATTCTCGTTTCCGGCCCGGCGCGCGAGGGCCCCAATGCCCGCGATGCCCGTCGCGCGCTCGTTTCCGACCAGGGGCGCGCCGGAGCCCACGTCTTGCATCGGCTCGTAGTCCACGGCATCGCTATCAGAGCCGTCGCAAGCGGTCGCATCGTGGCCCTTCGAGCTGGCAAGGCGAGGCTGGGCATTGGAATTACGCGCGGCCGTAATTAAAGCCACGCTGTTGGCTACGCACCTCCTCCTCGATGTCGGAAGTGCACTAGGCGCCCTGACCCACGGGATCGGGGCGACCACCCCCCGGGCGCGCCCGCTCCAAGGTCCTCCGAAGAAAGACCCGAAAACTCTCATGCTGGGAGGTCGCTTTCTTGTCAGCTCGGAGCTGTTGGAGGAGGTCAGACACAGCTGGAGCCGAGCGCTCGGCGGACGACGAGGCGAGGGCCTGTCTTACAAAGCATTGAAGACCCGCATGGGGGTCACCGGCCGCTCCGACCAGCTTCCCGCCCGACCGCTCCGACCGGCTTCCAAACGGGTCGAAGAACTACTGGTCTTCCTCTGCGTCGTGGAAGACATCGCCGCCGTCGAAGTCAACCTGTCCGTCTCCCGAGGCGGGGGGCTTGAGCAGATCATAAAGCGACCCTGATTCCTCGGGCGACATGGCTCCGCAGACCAGGGGGGGCCCGGCCGCGAAACCTCGCAAGCTGTCGGCGGCGGCGCAGCGCGGCGCGACAGTGCGAACCCAGCAACTGCATCACGAGGGGGGCAATGAAGGAAATCAAGCGTAGAAGGAGCGGACGCAGTAGCCGGCAGGAACGGAGAAATGGAACGTTTCAGAGGTGCTGCAGTAGGAGTGGCAAGCTTCGAAATGTTCGGTCTCGGATTGCGTTTCCTGGCACCTAGTCGATGAAGTTTCCGTCGTTTCATGTCGTCCTTCTCTGGTAATGCATAACTTGGCCGTCTGCATAAGTTGGCGTAGAGGCTGCGCGTTGCCCATTAGCTTAGTCAAACCATCCGTAGGATTAAGTTCACATGTAAACCAACGACACTGCCCACCCAGATTATCCAAGGAATCCCGAATAACGACAATTCCCAGAGATGCTCTCCTCCGCAGACGCACGCTGTTCCCGGTTGAGGCAGTCGCACAAGGACTTGGCGTCGGCCATGGCGATGAAATCCAAATCGGGGTTCTGCTCCAAGATCGTCGTCGCTCGGGTTCCCCGTCTCAGCGCGGCGGCCCTGGAGCTCACACCGGAAATCTCTCACCACGAAAACCCAAGAAGTCACCCTCTCTGCCTCGGCCAACCCCTCAAAGATGGCGCTGGCTTCCAATGGCCGAGTAGGACTTCCAGCACGATCAGTCTCGCGAGACTGCCAAGTAAGAATGCGGACGTCCGCTTCTCTGCGAGCAAGAAGGCCCTGATCTGCGGCGCAGATCGCGCTGCCTGTCTGGAGATGCCCCTGTCCCGCGCCCTTGACATCCAGCCCGGAATCGCATAGCGCGACCAGGCGGAGTCGATAAAAGGGCATGAACTTGATAGTGGTCGCAGCGTTGGTTCCCTCGAGGCGTCGCAGAGCGGCGCTGGCTTCAATCGGGCCCTTCACCTTCGAATTGGGCAAAGCGCTGCCCGGGGGAGACGAGTCTACAGAGCCATTGGGCATCCCTTCCCTGCGCGCGCGGTTGAAATTCCCAATATCCACGCATAGCGGCAATTTCTGCCGGCGTAGCCAGGAGTTCGGTGTCCGCGCAACGCCCGCGCTGCAGCTGGATAGGTCGCGTCCGTCCTGCAAGATACCGAACCATTGAAATCGTAAAATCGATTGCATGACGTCGTAGAGCACGACGGCCGCATTCAGTCGCATCATCCATGAGTTCTGCCCATCTTCCGAATTCGAAGCAATTGCAAAGGCGAGAAATCGCGTCGAAGAACTGATCTCCAATACCGCCCCCCAATAAACCATCTGTCTCGATGACAACAATTCCGGACAATTCCTCCTCACGACCGTCAATTGTCCCGAACATAAGCATGGCGCACGGTGCAGGAGGGCGCCGAGTAAACCCACATTTTGTGAAAGCTGCCAGAACGCTTCTGCGCCAGCCCGGAGGGGCGGCAACCGACCCATAGACCTCTGTCAACAACTCAATAAAGATCAGCTCGTTCGGGTCTCATCTGGGAATGCCACCAGCAGGGGGCGAGGCGAAGAGAGGTTCCCCCCGCTGATTGCGCAAACCCTGCGCAAAAGCGGATCTTGCATCACCAACCCACGTTTTAGCCTTGATAGAGGCCAAACATTGTAGAGCAAGAGGAACGTCTGACGTCGAAGCCGCGGGCACGGCACGGTTGAACACAGCGATGTCAGGATGCCGATCTGGACTTCGCATCGTAGCTCCTGCGCGCAGACGGGCCAGCCCGTTGTTGCAGTCAGCCACTTTGTCTATCCATTTGTCGCGCCATCGAGGGGAGTCACGCGTTGTAGATGTTTGCGGTAGATGTCTGCTGTAGCAGCTCTTCGGCGCACGCGCGCGGCTTCAGTGCCATCTGGGCCGGCAGCGCAGACATCTGACCATTCTTCCCAAGTGATTTACTTTGAACCAGTGAAACGCTGTTCAAGGTGTTCAGGTAACGGTTGATATTGATCTCGTCCTTGGCGCGCTTCTTCTTGACTGAAAATATCTTGGGGCGCCCCTGAAAGCCGCCTCGGACTGTCGAGCAGTGCGCATGTCATCCAAGCTGGGGGTCTTGAGCGCTCCCGCCCAACAAATCATCTGTTACCTGCGCATCATGGCTGATGTCTCCGTAGTAAGTAACAAGCTTGTCCACAGAAAGGGCCGCTGCAGGTGCAGCAGCGGTCGGTGCTGGAGGCGGCAGGTAGGACGCCGCATTGGCAGGCCAGGACATGCCCGAGCCTCGCGCCGTCGAGCTGGAGGCTCCCTCCGGCGCAACCGGCACGGAGGCATGGCCAGACGTTAGACACTGGCTTGCTTTGCGGCTCGGCAAATGCAGCACCCAGTCGAGGTCGCACCAGTCGGTCAGCACTGCGGTGCTAGTCGGGCAAGTCCTGGTTCGCGGTGACTCTCAGCCATCGGCTGGAGGCCAGCTTCTTCTGGAGGTGGTTGTTGTGACTCTCGATCGGCGTCTCTGCCTGAGTCGCCCAAAACACCGTCGGCTCCAGGGTCGCCACGTGGTTCATCTCCAGGAAACATGGGGTTGCCCTTTCTGGTAGCGTCGACGTAGAGGCGAGCACCACGTGTTCGCTCGAGGTCAATCTTGAGGTCATGAAGAAGGTCGCGGTTGGCCATCTCGATACCTCGGCTCTCGTCCTGAGGTGGCGCTCCGCATCTGCCCATTCAACACTCGCCACAATGCTCCACGCATACTGATCCGAGAATCGCCAGAAGTGGGAAGGATGATTACACCAGGTCCAAACCATCTTCCAAGGCCCACTCGTCCTTGTCTCCATACAAACAAGAGCTGGCACGGGACGTGCTCGGGGAACTCGAAGTCGATGGGTTTGACTGTCCGTTCTAGCCCAGGTTATCACAGCCGCCCGTCGTAGGTCTTCAGCGCGGTAGAAATGTTGTACCATATTGGTAGCAAGGCACTCGGGATCGATGGAAATGATTGGAGAGCAGCGTCGCTAGCAAACTTTGTGTCAAGCCGAAAACCCGTTGCATAGGCGAGAAGCCACTCCGGTTCTGGTAACGGTTACGCACCGAGCAGCACAGCTCCCCGGAACGTACCATTCGGCAAAATCGTTCCGGGGCTACTCTATGAGCGACAAAACGAAACTGTCGCTTCCATTTATTGTCCAGCACGTTCGTCCGACCTGTGCGCACGCACGATTGCCATGCTACCTCTGCTGACTTCCTTGCCCCCACATGTCCACAAACATGGGAAGACGTACCCCAACAGGTAATGTTGATCCAGAAGCGTGGAGCATCACCAAACGGATTCTTGACTTCAACCGAATCGATACCAACAGCACGATTGAAGCGGTAAGACTTAAGGACAGCAGCAGGACGGCGAGCACAGGGTCGTTTGCGCGCCTCGCACTCATCGCATTACGAATCCCCAGTACCAAGCGTGCTACTTCAGGCTTGGCGTCGCCGCGCCTCAGGAGTCGAACAAAATCCCGATTGCTGGGGTGGCCGGAACTGTCGCGGGCAAGCTCGAGGTCTGTCAGCTGGTCTACCGTAGGAGACCCACCAGGCTGAGAAGGAACGTCGTCGTCACTGTCGGGTTCAGCACTAGGATCATCAACAGGAATCTCCTCAGGCCTCAGGCCCATCCTCTTATGCTTCCTGAGGAAGACTGAGACTGGCACTATCCACTGAAAGTGCGAGGGCGCGCCGCTGGATGGCCCCAGGGGGGGGCTGGACCCCCCCCCCCTTCCCCGATCCGTCGTCGGGGAACCCTCCCCCTCCCCCCCTTTCCCGATCCGTCGTCGGGGCCCCCTCCCCCTCCCCTTTCCCGGTCCGTCGTCGGGGACCTTACTCACTACTTCCTTCCCACTATTCACTACCCACTACTCACTACTCACTACTCACTACTCACTACTCACTATCCACTACTCGCTACTCGCTACTCCCTACTCCCTACACAGTACTCACTACTCACTGTTCACTACTCGATACTCCCTACGCCCCACTCGCTACCCAGTACGCACTATTCACTACCCACTACTCACTACGCCCCCACTACTCACTACTTCCTACTCCCTACTCACTACTCCCAACTCACTACTCACTACTCACTACCCAGTACTCAATACTCACTACTCACTAAACACTAATCACTGCCCACTACTCACTAATCACTAAGCACTACTCATTACCCAGTAACCACTATCCACTACCTACTACTGAGAACTCACAATTCACTACTCACTACGCACTGCCCACATCTCACTACTCACTACTCGACACTACCCACAATTCACTACTCACTGTGCACTACTCACTACACACTACTCACTCATTACTACTCACAATTCCTTACTCACTACTTCCTTCCTACTACTCACTACCCACTACCAACTACTCACTACTCACTAATCTCTACGCGCTACTCACTACTACCACTACCCATTACCCACTACTCACTACTCACCACTCACGACTCACTGCGCACTACTCACTATCAAATACCCACCACTCACCAATTTCTATTC